GTGACTGCCGTGAACGGCCACGCGAAAAGATCCTTTTATTTCTTGCGGTTTTCGCAACGCGCTCGGCTAAAACCGTAAACAGCTGGAGATCAGGACTATTAAAGCGCAGTCGTAAGATAATTTACAACGTCGGGAATATTTTAAAACTCGATCGGTTCGTTTCGGTATCAGTTTCAAACATTGACGCGAATTTACGACGTCTGATCTAATGAAACGTCAGCATCCCTAAAGCAGAACATCCTCTTCGTTCGTGTAAAAATTAGAATGCTTCATTACGCGAGTAAAACCTATTTGTAAATGCTCGTTAGAATACCTAGGTCATGTTTTTGCCTTCAAATGTTAAAGTTTAACACGTTGACTGCCACGAGAATTTCAAGAGTTTTGTTAAAGTAAGATTTATTCCTTTATGATAATGGAAAATAGTATTAGAAATAATTATTAATGTTTTGGTATTACTTATTACTTATTCTTATTGTAATTGTTTTCAAGCAATTTGGAAGCTCCGGTCATCGGTGAACACCGTGGCAGTCAACGTGTTACCACTAGCTTTACGTATGGATATTGTATAGTTTATTCTGTTGTTACTGATAAAATTGATATTCGTTTATTTACTAGGTCATGTAATATGATATTTTGGATTTTGCGGAAAATGGAAACGTTATTTGATGTTCTAAAGGACGCTTATTCAATGAAAATGTGCTCTATTCGAATCGATACACTTCTGTCAACGAGTTTTTAACACTAGAACTACCGCACCAGTCAAAACCACTGATTTTGATTTGTTTGTTTCGCGATTATTGATATCTTAAAAGCATTGAATATTCGAAGTGATCTAGGAAATAAATAGTTTCACTTGAATACTATAATAAATGTCTGCAGAAACTGAAAATAATCTATTGTTACAATTTTTATAGGGATTACATATTAATTGTATTAATTGCTCGGTACTTCTAATGTTAATGGATTTACTTCTGTTTTAAAGAATTCTGAATGTTTAGAGTGAATAAATTCTAAAGACATCGTTATATACTACTGTTTTAGGTTTATCACGTGGCTCAATTTGCAAAGAAACATCATCGAGAAACGAAATTTAAATCAACGCTTCAGTGTTATTTCGTTCACAGCATTGTTCTCAAATGCTTTGTTTATATTTTCAGTGGTTTTCACCGCAGTATGTCCAAGTTTAATTTCATATTAGAATGTTAGTGGAATGCATGCTTTCAAAGAATGGCGCAAGGAATAGTTATTGTGCACAATTGGGAAAAACTTTTTTTCGAAAAGTTACTCTGATAATTGATAATGAAACTGTTTAACGGATTATATGAAAAATAAAGGAATAACAACGACAGGAGTACAAACATTTAAGAGTGAGAAAAATCTAACATTTCATCTTACACATTCATTTATTCATTTTCCTACGAAACATATTAAATCATCACAAATGTACGACACTACGACAGAACTGATGAAGCAAAGTATTTTCTTAAATAAACTTTATTTAATTATTATAACTGGATGATTATTTAATAAACTATACCAAGAGAAATAAATATTTTGAAACACATAAATTTCATTTTAACCAATTCAGAGAGACAGAAAGATATTAAACAAAAGAAATGTTATCGATTATAAAAAGAAAAAGTTACATTATGTTAACTCCAGTATACCATTTATTAAATACAGTAAAAAGTAGTGGTTATTAAGATAAGTTTTAACAGTTGATTAAAAATTCCGCATTTTCTTTCGTTCATTTAACTTTATATCAATTCCTATATTGTCCGATTAATTAGTTACCTGCCATTGATGAGTATACACATCATCTTAAAACGTAAAATGGTACTAATTTTTTCAACGATCAATTATTTATTTTTTCTGATAAATGTGTAATTCTTCTTCGTTTTGTTTTAGTTTTTCGTTGGAGTATATTATAGATGCATTTGCTCTGCGTTTGACAAGTATATTCAAACGAAATTCCACAGTTAACTGGTTAATCAGTTTTTCAATTTTTATCTTTCCTGTTGTTTCTGTTTCCACTAAGAAAAATTGACCATCTAACTTGTTTATCTTTCTGGTTACGATAGGAATAACTATGTACGAAGTGCTGGTAGGGTCAGTGTTAATAGAACATTATTTCTCACTCGGAACACATTATACGCATGAAAAATAATGGCATGTAAAATTAATGCTTTGATAATTGAGGCTATATAACTTACAGTTACTTAATAACTTATGAATGTATATATTACGTTGATGAATAATAAACGTCGTTTCTTGAAGTAATACTTCCGTTACAGTAGTTCACACAATCTACTATACTCTTCCGGCAATTAATTCGCGTCGATAAGCAAACGGAAATCAAACCTGTTGCATGGCAATACAATCCTTATCTGCCGTACGCTAAAAAGAATTTCTTTGTCCTTTTCTCAAAGTATAGTGGTATTATCTATCAATGCTTGAATCGAGATTAATACATCTTTTGAAACACAGACATGTCAGTCTTACTATAAAAATATAAAATTTATTTATAAACTCAATTCGATTCCTTATTACTTTAATATAACATTGACTCATAAACAGAGCACCGAAAAAAAAGAAGCAGCTCGAATGATTCATCAGATAAATTTATTATTTATTCCATGACTATATTCACGCAGGAAATATGCGCTAACATTTATGCAGATTGCATGACGATTAAATATAAAAAATAACTATAAAAAACATTATCCTGGTTTCTTTATTCCATTAGTTTTAAAGTGACAAATTATTATTTTTCTAATGTTCAGATAAAATTTTTTGAGGAACACGCTCTAGGAATGAAGAATTATCAGTGATAGAAGTCACGTGATATATGACCCTCACAAAATTATATTTTACCTCAGTAACTACAAAAATATTTTCATCTGTTTCATTTATGTAATATCTTCCCACAACATTTAAATTACAAATAAATAAATATCATTAGTTGTAAAGAGAAAAATTCATTTCGTTTCTGACAAATTTTTAATTGGTACCACTAAGTACCATTCTCAGCACTATTTCAGTCGTTTCTAAGATCTCACAAACCTTTGGAACCGGAAATTAATCAATCGTGAAAGAAATTTGCAGAACCACGTAAAAAGGATTCCGACTAAATACAAAATTATTTAGAAGAGGCTTCACGCGGTGAAAGTTTTATTTAAGAAAACAGCATTCCTGCCACAACCCAATAGTACCATTTTCACTCTACCGTCGTAACCTCTGTTCATTCGCCAAGGTACAAAATAAATATCTTGGTTCCCCCGACAAGAAATCTTCCTCTCAAGTATTTTTAAGCCGAAAAATTTCTTCGAACCCATCAGAAAAACTTCTCCGTCGATTCGCGCAGCGGTTGAACTCCGGGATTCTATAGTCCGTCTGCTATTTGCTGGCTAGCGGAACCACACAAGAGCAAAAGAGGTCTCTCGCTACGTGTTTTGTTTATAGTTTTGATTGGTTACATGCAAGTTATTGACGAATAGCAAATTAGTATCAGAAAAGAGATGAAAAAAAGATGAAAACTGACCGCTCAGACCCGTATTCCTCAGCATGGTCATCAAATGGTAGACTACCCAACAGTCTGTCCGATTAACCAGTTAGCTATGATGACCTCTGTGAAAAGCGTGCACCTACATAGTGCACCTAAATTGGCACTGTACATCGTTTTCCTATAATACATTTCCTTATTTGCTCGTTTTATTTTCTTTTCTTCTCTGAATATTTTAAATATCTTGAAATTTACGAATACAGTTTGGTGTTCATTAAAATTGCGATTTAACCCCTCACTCAATGATTCATTTTTGAACTGTGATTGATCTAACTACATTGTTATTTATAACTTATTGGAAATCAGAGAAAATTTCAGTCTTATTCTATGTCAACGTGTGCTCTGATCATTGATAACAGAGGACTAACATGTAATTTGCATTTAAACAAATTGAATAATACTTACGTTTGTAAAACTCTATTTGAAATCTTCACCACAAGTCTGACACGATATTGTAGGGCAAGGGGTTAAGTAACAACTACTTTTAGGTAGTTACTTTTTCCACGTAACGAGTACACTCGTGGTAACAAAATATTGCCATTTGAATTAAATAACAACAATAATAATGATAACAACCTACTTAACTTATTCAATTCACCTGATAAGGGTGACATCTCTCGTCTTTGCTACTGAAATTGTAAACAAAGGTGAATTATCTTACATATAAATTAGAGTTAAATAAGATATACTCTAAATTTACATTACCGGTACTCACTGAAATATAATAATTAATTCGATCACGAACTACTGTCAGTAATCAATAACAGTCTCTTATCTACAATTCTAATTTAACTAATTACAGAAAATTTTCATTCAGAATTATAGAAGAAAATCTGTGATCAAATTAATAGTTATATTCTAATTTTCATTATTAATCAATAGTCATAAATACAGAATGTTTTAATTTGTTTAGCTAAGAAATACAAAAGAGTAATAATTCTTTAGACATCAAGTCTTCGTTAGTTAAAAAAGGAGGTTGTAAGTTAAATTCTATCCAAATTAACTTGCAATCTAAACATCTCTAATTATTTCAATCTTATTTCCCATCAAGAATTATCAAGCGGTGATTTATTTGTTCAATTATTACATTCACTTAGACAGTTATCCTATGTGGGTTATAAAACTATAACACAAAACTTCCATCAGCCAAGCTGAAGTACGATCGGATCGACTGCACGTTTACGGCGGTCGCCGTTGAGGGACGCGTTCCTGTCACCTAATCGAGTGCATCCTCTCTCGCGTCCGCCGGAGAAAAACGCGTTTCCGCGGGTAGCACCGCGGAAAAACGGTCGAACCGGTTCTCTTATCGGGCACGCTTCTATCAATGGAGGAGGACGCAAATCGGCTCGTCGCGGCTCGTCGCGCCGCGGTCACGCTCTTCTACCCGATTGGCGGTATTAGAATACTCGGCGTGTATTTTCGTTGCCGGTCTCGCCGCGACGATCGGCTGGGGCCAGTAGTGCGCTCGACGGCGCGCGGAACGGACCCGATCGGCACGCTCTTCTGGGTTCTCGAAAAATCGTTCTCGCTTGCACCCGCGCGACCCGAGGTTCGATCGTTCCGATCGAACGACGAAAACTGGATTCCCGTTCTCGGTTCCGCGACTTGTTTTGATTTATCGATATTTGCCATCCGTTCTTTTTCCTTTCTCCTGCGGACTCTTCGGGCCTTTTTTGCAACAGCCACGCTGCATTTTACCCTTCTTCGTTTCGGTGAGGAGTGGTAACCTTGTTAGGGAGATTTTTTGATTCGGCAAGTAGGTCCTGCACCTGGCTCACCGGAAATTGAGGAGCGAACGGTGCTGCACGTGTCGGTTTCGGATCGATCAATGTAAGTTGCATGGTGGAAAGTATTTGGTGTTTTGATGCTACTGGGATTGAGGTTGTTTGTAGGGTTGTAGTGATCGGTGGATCTACTTTGTTTGTTGGGTAAATGAAGTGACGATAAATTGACCAAAATCTGAGGAATAATTTATAATCTTTTTACTGTTTAATTTGTGTAGAATAGTTTTTATTCTGTCTTCCTTAATCCCTTGCTCTATGATTTATTTCTTAACTATGATCGATATAACTATTTTATCGTTAATAATTTATGAGGAAAAAATATTTTGGTGTTTATTCTATGTCTATGTTTGCTTCAAAGGTTAAAGATTGATAATTGAAAAGTAAAATTTAAGTTATATTTTTAAATAATAAATAATATTTAGATTTCTCAAATTCGGTTTCTTAAATTTGAAAATTTTCGTCATGAGTCTGACACGATATTGTTGGCCAAGGGGTTAACTCTAAAACTACGGAACAGTCAAAATGACTGGTCTCGGTTTGTTTGTTTCGTAATTATTAATGTATTCAAAGCACTGAATATTTTAAATGATATTGAAAATAAATAGTTTTACTTGAATACTATGATGAATGTCTGAAGAAGTTGAAAACGATCTGCTGTTACAATTTTTATAGAGATTACATGTCAATCGTATTAAATGCCCGATAGTTCTAATGTTAACTCCAACACAAGCATCTACTGGATCGATGTTCTTGACGGAAGAGAAAGCAAGTTTAGACCTAATATGATTTGTAAGGGATTTTATAGAAAAATTGGAGAAGTACATTTTTTTATGTTTCTGTTTGATATTTATTATATTTGATAAGTAAAAGTATTCATTTGTTTATTATTTTAGAATTAATATTTTGGTGATTTTCATAGTTGTGTAATATCAAGAGCAGAGTTGATTACGATAGATGTGGTAATTCTAGTGTTGACATTAGAAACTATGGGAAATATTCTGAGACAGCTTAATTATTAAGTGTATTAATTATTGACCGTCTTAGGGAAGGTGAAGAAAATGCTCCAGTTCTAAGTAGTTTTAATGATCAGCCGTTTGATATGAATGACAGCATGTCGGAAAATAAGGAGTTATGCAAATTTTACAGAAATTATGTTAACACTTACATAATTATTCTGAGTAAGACATAACATACTGTATTACTTTTGATTTATCGAAGAGTTCGGATTTTTGTAGCCCTTATCTATTCCGTGATAAAATATATTTAATGCAATATGTGATTTTCAATTTTTTAAATTACAATGCATTTAGGCCACTGCGCGTTTTAGCTTGAATTTATCTTTAACTCTTGAAGAAAAAAAAGAATTGAATAATCTTAATGGAAATCAAGATGTTTATACGCTACAATTATAATAATTAAATTAGATTGCGTCTACTACGAAATAATTTGCTGTACAGCTACAAACCACAATCTGTTTCTGAAGCTGAAAATAACACGAAATTAAATAACACAAATTAAAACTGCAATGTGGTCACGAGTCATTATTAAAATAGGTTATTTAAAAATCATTGGATTATTTGAAAAATTTCACGGTACAACGAAGACAATAATAATGATACATAAGCTAACATTAATACAATACTACACTTTGATTAATTAAAAGTAATTAAAGAGATATCACTATCAATTAAAAGATATAACACACAAACTAGGAAAAGCAAAAATAGTCAACATATGAATTGTATAAAATAATTTTAAATTCTAGTAAAAGCTTCGAAAAAGTTACAAATCAAAACAGTGATATTATAATGTTATTAAATAATTAAGAATAATAGTAATAATTACAAATTTAAGTTCTTTTAAAAGCTGCTCTTTATTCGAAATAAGGAGTTTTCTCATTATCGTAGTTATCGATACAATTAATCGAGGAAATAAATAATATTACCATTCCTTTTTTTCTGATCTTTTTCTAAATTAGTCTCACAGAGGTGTTATCTAGATTCGTCACTAGATTTACCAATTAGGTTTGTTAATAAATTCCCTTTATTACTAGCGGGCGTCAGAGGTACGAAAACGGTCCTCATCGATGACGTATAAATTGACCACGTTTGTCCATGCCGAAGTAGACAGTGACGCGTGTCTGAGAGTACTAATAATGTAATTTGTGAGTTCCTTTCAATGCTCCCGGCGGACTTCACAGTTGCACCGCGGGTAATAGGCAAGAATTTTTAATAAAGCGGTACTCCTGGCCGACATCAATCTCTGTGACGTTAAGTGAACCTTAAAGTTTCTTTCAAGCCAGTCACCGTTCGTTTTCGCAACTGACATTTTGAACGAAGCAAGTGCTTCTGATATCCTATTTTTATCAACGCACCGCGTATTTTATGAACTTCAACTGCACTGTAAATTTTTGTATAAACGCACATTACTATACATCCAGTGTGCAAAACCTGGGATTGAATACAAACTTGTTTATCCTGTATTTAAATGTCACGATAACGGTGAAAAAATTATTTTATATTTCAGCAAAAATGTTCTTTATTGTGCTTTGTATATTGGAAAATGTTATAAATGGACAAAACTTACAATCTACTTATAGTATATTTAATACTAGGTTTGGGGAACAAGTCAATTTTACTCATACTGAATTTTATAAACATTATTTGGTGAATGTTTGGGTCGACTCTGATTGATGCAGTTACGCCACTATGTATCATAATTGTCTACTTTTAAATTTCTAATTTCCAAAAAATAAGTCTAGTGTTGATTGTGAGAAAAATATATATTTTACAGTATGAAGTGAAAATATGGAATCGTAAATATTATTTAAAAAGTGAAACAAATGACTTGGTGGCACGAAATATTTCTAGTAAATAGTTTTGATAAAAAAATCGGATGTGTAAACATCGCAGGTATTAAATGTTTAATGAACCACAAGCTTATTCGATTTATAGATTGTCACAATTCATTTATTTATTCAGATAAAGTCCTGTTAAGCGATGTTGTGACAGCTATATAGTAAAAAATATGGTTATGATTAGTTGTGCTAGAAAAGTTGTTTCTTGTACTTTTAAACTAAATGTTAGGTATTTTAATAAACGACTACAGACTCGATTACATTAATGATACCTTAATTGAATGATCTGAATATAAAACGACGAGCCGCTTATCTAACTTATCAGACTTTGATAAGGGTGGCATCCCTTGTCTTTGCTACTGGAATTGTAAACTAAAGTGAATTATCTTAAATATAAATTACAGTTAAATAATGTATAATCTAAATTTGCATTATCGATACTGTCTGAACTAGAATAGTTCGATCACGAATTACTTTCTATAATTAGATCAGTCCTTGTTTATAACTGTAATTTAGATAATTACAAAGAATTTTCATTCAGAATTATAGAAAACAATCTGTAATTGAATTAACAGTTATATTTTAATTTTCATTATTAGCGGACAGTCAATATACATTTTTCCCAATTCTGATGTGAATGAACAACTGTATCAATTATAAGTAGATGACGTTTTAATTTGTTTACGAAAGAAATACAAAAGAGAATAATTTTTTATAAATCAAGTCTTCATTAGTTAAAAAAGAGAGCTGTAAGTAAAATTCTACACAAATTAGCTTGCAATCTAAACGTCTCTAATTATTTCAATTTTATTTCCCATTAAGAATTATCAAGCGTTGACTTTTTATTTATCTCTTTAATTGTTACATTCGCTTAGGCAAAATTACTATCGTATCAGTAAAATCAATCTTTGTGAAGAATGTTTATAGCTTTTTTTGCTTTTTACAAAACAGTTTGCATACTTCTGATATAGATCTACGCTGGCACACTCGAATGACTTTATTATTCATGCAACATTGTATGTAACTACATACGTTCGCAATAAAATTTTAAAACTATGAACTTCTAGCAAAAAAATTATACACTAAAATTATCGCGAGCACAAATTAAGTGACTTACATTTTCTTGTACAAATGACCATAGTGTATCTATTAAGATCGCAATTCACTTATATTTCGTAATGGATATCATTCAATTTCTGAAAAACCACCTGTATCTTCTGACTAACTGTAGAAAAATCGAAAATAAATTAATATATTACATTATTTACTATAATTATTATACATTATTATATAATATTATTATATATATATTCGTTCATTTAGACCTTGGAAATTAGGGGTTTGAAAGTAGACAATTAGGATACCTATTTGCGTAACAACACCAATCAAAATTGACCAAAACATTTTCCAATATACAAAACGCAATAACGAATAATTTTGCTGAAATTTAAAATATTCTTTTTTAATCATTATTGTAACTTTTAAATTGAGGATAAACAAAACAAGTTTATACTTAATCCCAGCTTTTGTATACTTTGTGTATAGAAATTTGTATAAAATTTAATACGAGTCAATTGGACACGTTAGTCTGGTGTTAATTATTACAAACTTTACTACTGATGGTACACCGATCTTCAATTAAAATTCCGTGCATACCAGTTTCATCCCCGTCGACTCGCGTTCTCCAGGTTCGCCGAGAAACACGGTAATAATTGTTTTCGAACGAACGCATCATTCACCGGCATTGATCAATGACGCAGATCATACGAATTATCGTACACACACGGCGACGAGCGTCTCGCTGACTACTAACGACGAGTAATTTGCGAGTTCCTTTGAATGCAACTACAGAGGGACTCCGTAGTCGCCTTAGGAACGACAGGTCTTCTCGGGCTTGAATGCACTTGACCCGGTTCGACGGCGTCGCGTCGCGTCGCATCGCCATCTTGGCGCTCCAATCAATTTAAAGTGATTTTAGCAATCTATGTAGCAGTTTGTTACAAAATCAATAGCTTTTGTTGAGGTAAAAGCTTGTTGTAATTGTAATTAATAGGATATCGTTTAATTGCTAGGCTTTAAAGTGAATATTTTAAGAGAATGGCAACCTAGTATAAGTCAAACATAAGTGTAGCTTTAACTATGTGTAGTTTTCATTCGATACAAGATCAATAGCTTTCGTTGAGCTAAAC